TCCCCAGCCACATCCCCTGCTGTCTCAACCTCCCCAGCTGCTGAGATTACAGGTGTGCACCACTGTGCCCAGCTAGAGGACATACTTTTTAATGAAGACCTTGTGTTATGATTCAAATGTGATAGAAACACAAAATAATATAAATGTTCAATGTATTAGTTATCTATTGCTGTGTAACAAATTTCTCTGAAACTTGGTGGTTTAAAATAAAAAATTGTTATCTGCAGATGTGATGGTGCATGCTTATAATCCCAATGGCCTGAGAAACTGAGGCATGAGGATTGCAAGTTCAAAGCCAGTCTCAGCAACTTAGTGAGGCCCTAAGCAACTTAGTGAGTCTGTCTCAAAATAAAAAAAAAGGATAGGGAGGTGGGGCTGGGACTATGGCTAGTGGCAGAGCAGTTGCCTAGCATGTGTGAGGCACTGGGTTCCTTCCTAGCACTGCATAAAAATAAGCAAATAAACACATTCTGTCCATCTACAACCACAAAAAAAAAAATTAAAATTGACTGGAGATAATTGTAGATGCAGAATATTTGTCATAATTAAACTGTGAAAAGCCCCCCACAAATAAAATAAAAAGAGGCTGAGAATGTGGCTCAATGGTTAAGTACCCCTGAGTTCAATCCTTGGAACAAAAAAAAAAAAAAAAAAAACACATTATCTCACTCAGTTTTAAGTTCTGGCTCAGGATCTTTTCAGATGTTGCCATCACAATGTCAGTGGGAGCCCCAGTCATCCTTGGATCACACACATAGCTATTGGCAGGAGACCAAAGTTTCCCATGGGGGCTTCCCTACAGGACTGCTTGAGTGACACACTGTTTTTCCACTATGCAACCCATTTCAGTGCCTGTAGAATACAGGCAGAGGGCAGGCAATGATTCAAGACCACAGTTTGCTCTGGCATGGGGCACTACTGAGTGACCCATTTCTAAATAATGTAAATATGTTCCAGGGGGGGATGTGGCTCAAGCAGTAGTGCGCTCGCCTGGCATGCGTGTGGCCCGGGTTCGATCCTCAGCACCACATACAAACAAAGATGTTGTGTCCGCCGATAACTAAAAAAAAAATGTTCCAGTTTTGGATTGGTTGATCTGCTCTGTCAGCCATATAACCCAAGACATAATGGAGCTTAGTGCCAGTGGCTGGTAAAGGGATGTTATATAGAAGGCTTATCAGGATGCTATAGATGAATGATAATATAAACCTGTTCCAGTTACTGATATGTCCCAGCTCCAAATTTTTCCTTCAGTTGCCTGCTAAATAAAGTGAACTCCGCCTCATTTTCCTTTGCCAACTGGCATGATGTTAGGCTTTGTCAGTAAAGGGCACTAGAGAAACACTGTAAGAGGATGGGGTTTCTCTTCCAGATTCTGGTGTTCACTAGGAAGACTTCTGCAATACCCAGGGGCTCCCCAGCCCAAGCTCCTGCGGTCTGGGAGGTGTCTGTAGCCGGAACTCCCACAGTATGAAAACATGTACTTCCAGTACACATTCCAGCAAGCAGCACCTAGGAGCTAGACACTTTTCCCACAGTTCCGGTTAGATTTGTAGCAGAGACAAAGGTGTCTGATGAGACATTGCTCTGCGATCATCCTTCAAGATGGATTTCTAGCAAGTTTCACCTGTGGATACAAAAGCCATTTCCCTGAAACTCGGTGAGCCTCAGACATGCCTACTCCACTGTTTGGGTCTCAGTACAGGGACAGGGAAACCGTCTTCTATGAGTGCTCCAACTCAACCCAGGTTGTGGCTGTTGCTGCTATCTGCTGTGACCCTATGACTTAAATAAAGGTCTTCTCACTAGTCAACCCTTTCTGAATGCAATCTTTCACAGCTAATAATTCCATACATAAAAATTTTCCTGTTCAAATTGTGTGGTGACGCACACCTGTTCAAATCACTGTTTTCTCTCTTCTGTTTGGACCTGTCTGATAATTAGTACAAAGTGGTCTCAGGAGACAGGAATGTCATTTCAGCTCCTGGAACACCCATTCCATTTGCTTGAAACGTTCTTCCTCCAAAATCTTACAAAACAGCCTTTTCTCAGCCTTCAAGACTCAGTTTAAATGTCTCCTTCCCTAAAAGGGTTAGTTCCTACCATCTTCTACTGCTTCGCCTAGTCCCTTTCTTTCTGGCATTCGCCACTACTAGTAATTAATGTGTCATTTCTATTTGTCAATTTCCTCCGCTGACAAAGGCAAAGGTCTTGCCTGGCTTTTTCGTCCTCAACTTTTAGCAAAAGACTTGGAATGCAACCGTTCATTTCATATTTGAAAATAATGGAGATAAACCGGGCGTGGTGATGCACACCTGTAATCCCAGTGGCTCCGGAGCCCGAGACAAGAGGATCGTGAGTTCAAAGCCAGCCTCTGCAATGGCGAGGTGCTAAGCAACTCTATAAATAAAATACAAAATAGGGCTGGGATGTGGCTCAGTGGTCGAGTTGAGTTCAATCTCCGGTACCAAATAAATCTGGAGGAGATAAGGCAGCAAAGCCCCTCTTGTTCACGTTTCTTGCCGCCCTAACCTATCACAGCATCAAGAGCACCGCGCGCCTCAGCAGCTTCCCTGAAGATGCCTACATATCCTTCCTGGCCGCACCCACGCCTGCCTCTCCCGCGGCAATACCCTGGGCCACTGCTTGGGAGCTGGGAAGATGCAAAACTGCGAGCGGGAGACACGGGTCTCACGAGTTCGGAGCAGATGCCAGGACTCCCTCGGAGCAGAATACTTGCAGGCGGTTGTTTGGACCGGAAGTGGCCGAGGGAAGTCGTAAGTGGTCCGGGCCCAGCCCCGCACCTAGACATCGCAGCGCTGGACTCCGGAAGTCGGCGGTGGGAGGGCTGTAAAGACTCAGGGGTCACGGGGAAGCCCAGCACCCGGGTCGCTAGTTCCTCTGACATCCAACGCATGAAACCTGAGCGCTTCAAAGGTAGAACCTCAAACCTTTGCCCGGGGAAACGCCGCAGTGGGCACAAACGTTAGCCGCGATTGGCCAGTTCTGCTGGAGACGCCCTCGCCCCGCCACGATATTTGATTGGTTGAGGGCATCAGGGGCAGGGCTTGCGGTTCTAGAGGTCCGGCTGTGGGGGGAGATCCAGGAGGAACCTCATCAGCTCCGAGGAACGGTCCCCGGCTAGAGATGAGCAGAGGCCGACGACCGGGCCGGCCAGGCGAGGCGGGGAAGCCAGCTGGGGCCTGAATACAGGCCGCAGGGAAAGAATGGGAAGCTCAGACGGAAACCCCCTGCTCCCTTCGCTCTCCAACCTCTCTTGGCGGCGCAGGTCAAGGGTAAACCATTCAGGTTGAGTTCTATAGTGGTGGAGCAGCTGGAATGTAGGATGTGAGCATAGGCCAGGCCAGGCCTCTCAGCCGCCTCACCCTCTACCCAGACACCAAGATGGTTCTCTGGCTTTCTTCCCCTAGTCTCCCACCCATCACCCATCCAATTATGAGTACACTTGTATCTGATACTAGAGGCCCTTCCACAAACCAACCCCAACTGCTTCCTCAGTCTTATTTGCTCTTATAAAATATTTTCCAAAGTGCCACCTTCCATTGTTAACATACTTTTGTCAGACCCGTCCCAGAATGGTGGCTTCTAGGCGGATGGGCAGAAGTGGACCTAGCCTGTAGAGATGATGTGCAGGTTACTATCCATGGGACCCTTGGAACCACATCCCTCTGCACTCTGCCGTAAGAGGGGAAACATTTCTCCTGGATATTGTGATCTGAGCTATCCAGAAGCCAGAGTGAAGATTATAAATGACTGCCTGAATCATTCCACAACTCTCCGGCTGGCTCAAGTCCTGACACCTGGTCTCCAATGGGTCAGCCACACAGTCTGAGGAACTGAAATCAAAGTAGGCAATACTCACTGTGCAAATGGGACCTCTGTGCTAAGCTACTGTGACAAGTACGGAAGCTTCCAGTGTCATTTTAACAAGCCTCCTTTTCACCTGTTTCCCCTTCACTAAAAAAGCTCCCTGACAAGCCAGGTGCAGTGATGCATGCCCTAGTCCCAGCTGCTTGGGAGGCTGAGACAGGAGAATCGTTGAGTTCAAAGTCAGACTCACTCAGTGAGACCCTGTCTCTAAATAAAATACAAACTAGGCCTAGGGATGTGGCTCAGTGGTTGAGTACCCCTGAGTTCAATCCCCACTACCAAAAAAACCTCCCTGACAGCAACTGCTTTACAAGTGACAGCCCCCCTCAGCCTCTCACACTAAGTCAAACAGAGGAATCCCATTTCTGGCTGACTAGAACTATGAGGATAAGCTGAAGGAAGCAATCTGCTTGCTTTCAGCAAGACTCCACCAAAGCTTGCTTGGCTCCACCAGTCAGCAGCTCATCTGTGTCCAGCTGACTGTATGCCCCAGACCACCCCCATGTTCAATTGAATCCAATGTCCCTGGTGGTCAAGACCATTGACTGTTCTACTTTTTTTAGACAGTCCTGCCTCATAATATAATATTACTAGACAGTAAACAGAGACACATGGAAATAAGGATATTTCTTACAGGATAAAACACCAAACTGGGAGTAGTGGCCCATGCCTATAATCCAAACTACTCCAGAGACAGAAACAGGAGGATCACAAGTTCAAGGCCAGCCTAGGCAATCCAGTAAGACCAGCTTGGCACAGGTGTCTTAAAAAATGGCTGCAGATGTATCTTAGTGGCAGAGTGCTTGCCTAGCATGCACAAGACCCTACTGCAGAATGAATTTTAAAAATACGTGAAATGGGCTGGGGTTGTGGCTCAGCGGTAGAGCACTTGCCTAGCACATATAAGGCCCTGGGTTCAATCCTCAGCACCACATAAAAATAATTAAAGGTATTGTGTCCAACTAAAAAATATTAAAAACAAAACATGAGACATCCGATGCAAATATGACACCAATTTCCAGCTCTCTGGTTGTATGATTCTGGGCAAGTGACTGGACTTTTCTCTTATCCTGTTTCCTCATTTATAAAACTCAGATAATAAAATCCATTCAACTGCAGAGAGTAGAGGTGATATATATGGGGGCTTGGCCCCATGCCTAGAAGTTAACAACTGGCAGCTATTGTTACTATTCCCAGTCATCCTGTTCAAGCCATTACAATCCTTAGGAGCTGGAGCCAAGGGCTGCAGGTATCCTAGTGGCTTTATAAACAAGTAGAGTCTCTGTGGCCTCCCTGATGCAGACATTTTCATAGTCAGCTGGTATGAGTTGAATGTTACTTTAGCAGCTGAGCCACAAGTATAGCATAATAGGCAGAATCTACTCCTTCGAAGAAAAAGACAGTGGGAAATGGAAGCCACAGAGGTTAAAACAGAAGTCTAGGACTAAAGTAGAGTCAGGCAGGGACAGGTAGGTAGGACAAATTACAAAGAACTTACAAAGGTCAACTAGGTAAGAAGCAACAGAGAAGAGGTGACAGTAGATGCATAATGGACCAGGAAGCAAAGTGGTACCTGGTAAGTGGCCCCAATGGAAACGGAAGAAAAGGGCCAATCACAAAACAGCCACAGTGCCTGAAAGGAGATGGGGACAGCAGGAAACACTGAGCAGAAGGTTTCAGACTGGCTATGTCCAACTCCCACTTCCCAAAGAGAGGAGCCAAAGAAGAGTCCAGAGATTAGTGTGCAGTGAACTTTCTTGGGATATGATGGCAGCAGCAGACATCCCCACCAGGGGTCCATTTACAGGAGTGGCTGGCTTCAGACTTGGAAACCTGTCTGCATTCAGAAGCCTCTGTTCATAGATTTATTCCAACATTCTAAAATGGGCTCTGGCCAAAGGGACCTCAAACGTACTCAAGGCTGAAGATAAGGGTGTCCAAAACAAGAGCAGGTGAGTCAGGGATGAATGAGGACACGATTGACCCAGGAGCCCCCCACTCCCCGGGGTTCAACAGTGCCCACAAGACAGAGCAGTAGTCCACAGCTTGAATTCCAAGGTCTTTAATTTGCCCTAAGTGCCTGTGCCTTCTCACCCAAGCTCCTCCCACGTTGCCATGCCCCACCCTGCGCCTGTACCTCCCAGGCTCCCTTCCCTCAACCCTTGGCTCCCACCACCTCCACCAAGGCCAGGAGCAAAGGCTGTTGCTCCTACACAGGGCCCAAATTCAATGGGGCTGACCCAGCTGCCCTGGGTGCGCTGCCCCCACCCTAGGTGGGAGCAGGCGGGGGTGCAGCCAGAGCCCCAGCAGCTGCCGCTCCCAGCATCAGCATAGCCAGGGCCTTGGGCCCAGTGGTATGGATCTTCTCATGCCGGTGGAGATTGGAGCGCCGGCTGAAGCTCTTGCCGCAGAGTGGGCAGGAGTAGGGCCGCACGCCGCGGTGGGTGCGCTGGTGGGCGGTGAGGTGCGAGCTGTGGCTGAAGCTCTTGCCGCAGTCGAGGCAGTGGTAGGGCTTCTCGCCAGTATGCGTGCGGTTGTGTGCTATGAGGTTGGAGCGCTGGCTAAAGCACTTGCCACACTCTGGGCAAGGGTAGGGCTTGACGCCAGTGTGGGTACGCTGGTGGGTGACCAGGGCTGAGCTCTGTGTGAAGCACTTGCCGCAGATGGGGCATTTGTGCGGCTTGGCACCGGTGTGGGTGCCCTGATGCGTGACCAGGTCCGAGCGGCGCGTGAAGCGCTTGGCACAGCGGTCACACACGTAGGGCTTCTCACCAGTGTGGATGCGCTGGTGTTGGATCAGTGTCGAGTGGTGGCTGAAGCTCTTCCAGCACGAGGGGCAGGTGTAGGGCTTCTCACCGGTGTGGATGATCTGGTGCTGGATGAGATGCGAGCTGCGGCCGAAGCGCTTGCCACAGTCTGTACAGGCGTAGGGCTTCTCACCTGTGTGCGTGCGCCGGTGTGTCACCAGGTGCGAATGCCAGCTGAAGCTCTTGCCACACTGCTCGCACTTGTAGGTCTTCTTGCCTAGATCACTATCAGGGGCCAGGCCCTCCTCACCGCTGTCTGTGGCACCCTTCTCGTCCTTGTTGGGTTTTTCTGGGTCATGGCCCTCCAGTGCCTTCACAGGAGGGGCTGGATTTGGCTCTCTTGCTTCCAGAGGAGCCAGCTGTTCTGCATCTCTGGCTGACAGAGCGTTCTGACCGCTGGCTCCCTGCTGCCCACACTGCAGGACACCCCCTGGGGCCCACCGGGTTTTGGTTGGCAAGGGCTTCACATCCCCTAGGGCTCCCATGGGTGCAGCTGGCACCTCCTTCCCCACCTCCAAGGTTCCTGGAGAAAGAGAGAGGGTTTCCAGAGAGACAAGCTTCTGGAAGGGCCCCAGAGGGTGGGGAACCCACAGGAAATCCAGGGGATGGATTCTGGGAGATAGGAAAGGGGAAAAGGAAGTAGGGGAAATCTGGAGCCAAGAACCACCCTTTAGGAAGGAGCCATCTAGTGGCCCTGCACCCACAAAAAACAGAAAGTCCATATCAACAAGGAGTACCCGGGAATGACTGGGCAAACGGTCCTTCCCCAGAACAAGGCACACACCAAGTCCCTCACCTGAACCAGGGCCTCTCTTCTCTTCCTTCTCAGCTCCTGTCTGCCGGCTGGAGCTGGCAGCCTCGCCCTTTCCCTGCACTTGGGGGGCCCAGAGAGGCCTGCTGAAGGGAAACCCTATCCAGAAAGAGGACACATTCAGCAAAGAACTTCTGGAGCTGCCAACTGTAGACATCATCCCTCCAAAAACTAATGGGGCAAGAGGGGCAAGTGAGGGCTGGGGATGTGGCTCAAGCGGTAGCACACTCGCCTGGCGTGCGTGTGGCCCGGGTTCGATCCGCAGCACCACAAACAAACAAAGATGTTGTGTCCGCCGAAAACTAAAAAATAAAAATATTAAAAAAAAAAAAAGAGGGGCAAGTGAGGCTCCAGAAACATGAGGCAAAACAACATGCGCTCAAAAATTGCTTCAGGCCAGGCAGGGATGGTGGCTTATACCCATGATCCCAGTGACCCCGAAGCTGAAGCAGAATTGCAAATTTAAGGCTAGCCCCAGCAAGTTAGCAAGATTGTCTCAAAACACAAAAGAATGAAAAATGGGGCTGAGATTGTGGCTCAGCAGTAGAGCGCTCGCCTAGCATGTTCGAGGCCCTGGGTTCGATCCTCAGCATCATAGAAAAATAAAATAAAGATATATATATGAAATAAAAAGGGCCGGAGGCAGTGGCACATGCCTGTAATCTCAGCGGCTCAGGAGGCTGAGGCAGGAGGATCCTGAGTTCAAAGCCAGCCTCAGCAATGACAGGCATTAAGCAACTCAGTGAGACCCTGTCTCTAAATACAAAATAGGGCTAGGAATGTGGCTTAGTGGTCAAGTGCCCCTGAGTTCAATCTCCAGTACAAAAAAAAAAAAAAAAAAAGAATTTAAAAGGCATCTGGGAACATAACTCGGTGGCAGACCACCTGGGGTTCAATCACCAGTACCAAAGGAAAAAAAAGGTGTGTGTGGGGGGGGGCCTGAGGTGCAGCTCAGTGGTAAGCTACTTGCCTAACATGTAAGAGACCCTCAGTTTAATCCCCAGCACCTTAAAAAAAATTTCCTTCCTATCCCCTTTCAGGGTAGCACCCAACTATACTCCTCCCAATGCTGAGCCAACTGACTCCTGATTCCCTGAATAGAGTCTCAGAATCTGAAAGGGAGGAGCCCAGGTTCTGAGGCCAGGTAAGGACAGCAATTCCCTTCCCTTGTCACAGTCTCCAATCAGTGGGCCCAGTAGCCTAAGACATTGGAAGGGCTATCTCACTCCTGAACTTGCATGTGGCTGGGAGGGTTGGAGGCTGCAGAAAGGCCAAGTGGGAGGGCCTGGGACAAGGGGCCAGGTACACTGACAACCAAGAAGTCATGAGACCAAAGGGCCCATCTGCCAAATCCCTGGGGTGAGAGGCCCTGGGAATTCTAGTTAAGTCAGTAAGACAGCAGAGGGGCCTTGCCTGTCATGACTTGTGGGAGAAAAGGGATTTTTTGGATCAATGAAGTGGGTTACAGCCTCTCTGAGGCCTGCCCTGGGGCTGCAAATAGATGCTAAGTTCTTTCTGATCTCCCAGGATTTGCCTGGACTTGTTGGTCTGGCCCTGAGGAATATTAACAACGGGTAGTATGCAAGCCTAAGATAATTATAGGAGTGAGGATGACTGGTATGATCCCACAGAGATCTCAAGGCTACACTGAAGTCAAGGGTGGAATTGCCAAAGGCCCAGATTGCACCTGGACTAGCAGGTATGCAATGGCTATTTACTGAATGAATGAATCACAATGAAGACCTCATCAAATTCTGTCAAAAAAAAACTAGTCTGCAAATAAGGAGTAAAAACCTGGGACTTAACTACCTGCCATCAGAGAAACCAAGGGAGCCAAGCCCCTCTGAGAAGCACATGCTTCCTGGGCTCCCTAGAGCCTATAAGGCCTGAGAGGTTAGCTGATGCCACCCACAGAGCAGCCCACAGACCTAGAGTCAAGCTCTCTGCAAACACCTACAAAGCTGGGGCTTGGAGAAGGAAGACAGAAATACTGGGATAAATTAAAGCAATGAAAGATTGGAAGAAAAGCAGAATCCTCAGATCAGTACTGTCCAAAATAGCAGCCACCAGCCATGGCTACTCAAGCTCCAATCTGAGTTGGGCAAAGTTAAAAAAAAAAAAAAATTAAAAACTCACTTGCTCTAGCCACATTTCCAATGCTCAACAGCCACTGGGTTTAGGGACACCATTCTAGTGCAGATGCAGAATATTTCAATCCCTGTGGAAAGTTCTACAGAACACTACTGTCTAAATGAACAAAGTGGGGAAAGGGAGCAGAACTGATGTGGGGGGCCAACAGGGAGGTAATGACCCTACTACAGGTGAGCCCTCACCCAAGGCCAGCCCATTTCTCTTCTGTAGCACGTCCCTATAGAAGTTCTGCTGGGTGTGGTCCAGACGTCCCCACTCCTCCCGGGAGAGGTACAGAGCCACATCTTCAAAGGTCACTGGCATCTGAAACAACATGAAGCATGCTGTCCAAGGTAAGCTATAGACACAGTGGGGCAAACAGAGACACCAAGACATGTGGTGAGATTGCAGCCTCCCAACTGCTGCCTCCAGCTACCCTGACCTGATTGTCAAATATAAGAGACCTTTTTGGGGGAGAATTGTTTCAATAACAAAGCAGTACTACTTAGGGACCACAGACAAAGCTCAGGATCTCCTTCCTCAGCTCAGACCCTAAAGGAAGATTCACACATCAGAGACCCATCTCTCCACTTCCCTCTGCTTTTCCTCCAGCTGTGGCCAGAGTGACCGAAGACCCTAAGCCTGGAAAATGGTATTCAGATTCCAGCTACACTTCAGTGAGAGTCCTGAGCAGCAGGTTCCAGATCCAAGTGGGAAGGTCAGTGAGGCCATGACTTTACATGTGGAGCCAGCAGATCTGGAAGGGCTGAGCACCAAATCGGGATCTGGGAAGGCCCTGCCTCCACTTGGGCAGCTAGAAGAGGAGGCAAAGAGACTGGCATAGACACTCACCTGGGACCAGGCAGTGAGGAGCGCTGCGGCCATCTGCCGATCTCGGGTCCTCCCCTCATGGGAAAGCATGGGGATCCGAGAAGGAAGGGCTATGGGAGGAGAGTGGTGACTGACTCAAACTGCTGGATGCTGCTGCTCACCCAGCCACTTCAAACTCCACCCCACCCCAAACCAAAAAGACAGGCAGGCATATGCACAGGTAGACATCTGGGTCCCTTTCCAGGTTAAGGACCCTCAGCCCTACCCAGGCTGGGCCTCCACCTTCCCCACAGTTGCCTATCCAGGCACCTTTGTCCACATCCCTCTCCTACCTCCCCCAGGCAAGAAGAGAGCTTTCTCCTTAGGGCCAGGACTTAGAGGCACCCAGTCCCGTGCACCTGGAGCCCTGTCCTCCTGTGAGGTCCCCTCAGAGTGCACCTCTTCCGGCTCTGTCTTAATGTGTGGTATCTTCTTCTCCAGCCCAGAGAGCACTTCTTGACAGGAATGCACATGACCTAGAACCTGGGAATGACAACCCACATCAGAACCCGGCTGGCAGAACTCACACCCACATGCAAGAGACAGCTTGAAGGGCTGACCTCGCTTTCTCCCTCCAGTTCACCTCCCAGCAAGGATGGAGTGGCAAGCGATGAAAGACTTGTCAAGCCATTGCCATAGTACACATAGTACTCAGGGGCACTCGACCACTGAGCCACATCCCCATCCATATTTTGTATTTTATTTATGTGTTTGTTTGTTTATTTATTTTTTACACAATACCTTTATTTTGTTTATTTTTATGTGGTGCTGAGGATCGAACCCAGGGCCTCACACATGAGAGGCAAGCGCTGTACCACTAAGCCACAGCCCCAGCCCCACTATTTTGTATTTCATTTAGAGCAGGGTCTCACTGAGTTGCTTAGTGCCTCGCTTTTGCTGGGCTGGGACTGGCTTTGAACCCGCAATTCTCCTACCTTACCTTCCAGAGCTGCTGGGATTACAGGCATGTGCCACTGCGCCTGGCTGCTGTTGTTTCTTTCTTTTTTTTTTTTTTGGTGCTGGGGATTGATCAAACTCAGGGACTTGTGCATTTGAGGCAAGCACTCTACCAACTGAGCTATATCTTTAGCCCTGGCTGTTTTTTAATACATGATAAAATCAAGTAGATTGGGTTAAATAGTGTCTCTTCAAAATTCACATCTACCCTGAAGCACAGAATGTGACCTTATTTGGAAAAAGGGTTTTTTGGTGGTTGTTGCTGTTGTAGTACTGGGGATTAAATGAGGCTGGAAAATGGAAAATGAGATAATCAAGCTAAGCATCTCAAGATGAGCCAGGCATAGTGGTGCATTCCTATAATCCCAGCGGCTCAAGAGGCTGAGGCAGGAGGATTATAAATTCAAAGCCAGTAAGCAATTTAGCATAGCCCTAAGCAATTAGTGAGACCCTGTCTCTACATAAAAAATAAAAAAAGCTGGAGATGTGGCTCAGTGGTTAAGTGCCCCTAGGGTGGGCCCTAAATTGGATGAGTGAGGTCATTATAAGAATAGAAGACAGGGACTGGGATTGTGGCTCAGTGGTAGAGTGCTCACCTAGCATGCATGAGGCACTGGGTTCGATCCTCAGCACCACATAAATGTAAAATAAAGATATTGTGTCCAACTAAAAATAAATAAATATTAAAAAAGAAAAAGGAAAAGAACAGAAGACACAACTGAGTGTGGTGTGCACACCTGAGATCCCAGCAACTCAGGAGGCTGAGGAAGGATGATGGCAAATTCAAGGTCAGCCTGGGCAATTTAACAATTTAACAAGAACTTGACTCAAAATAAGAATTAACTACTGTCATGTATAACCAATTGGAACAAATTTAAAATTAAAAGGGATAGGGTATTAAAAAAAAGAATAAGGGCTAGGATATAGCTCAGTGACATAGACATAGCACTCCTGAGTTCAACTCCTTCCCCACCTCAAGAAAAAAAGGTAAATAGAAGACACAGAAACACTGAGAAGGAAACAGAGATGGAGCAATGCTTGAGCCTAGGAGCATCAGGAGTCACAGGAGGCTAAAAGGGGTGGGAAGAACCTCTCCCCAGGCCAAAAGCCTCTGGAGGAGGCCTGGAGCAGCTGACAGCTTGGCTTCCAAGACCAGGAGAGAACAGATCCTGGTTGTCTTATGCAACCCAGTCAGTGGGAACTTGTTTCTACAGCTACAGGAAACTAACACCCCAAAGCCTAGGAATTAGACAAAGGCTCACAATCAGGCCTCTCAAAAACTCTGGGCAAGGCATATATATCCTCTCACTGAGAGAACCTTGGTGGTTCTCATGTCACTCAAGGCAAGGCTGGCCTTCTATTGGGAGTCACACCCATCCTTGCCTCACCCTCCCCGGTGTGTGTGTTCCAGTCAGTCCTGAAGGGAAAGACCAGCTGTCAAGAGTGTCCAGGGCAGACCTAACAATGCCCTGACTGGCCTCTGAGACTCAGCTGCTCTGTTGCCTGCCTAGAACAGTCATAGGGGCATACACATGTGAGAGAAAGCCACCCACTCTAGAAATTTCTGGATAAACACAGAGTATGGGTAATTATTATTATTATTATTACTTTGTGTAGACTTGACGAATTCAACATCAACGGAGAATGTCGATCAGCAAGGCTTGTCAGGTTCAAGGCACACATAAAAAGCTGTTATGAAACAATGGTAATAATTCTTTGAACTTCCACAGCATAAAAACGGTAGCACTAGTGTGGCGCAGTGGCATACACCTGTAATCCCTGCAGCTTTGGAGGCTGAGGCAGGTGGATTGTGATTTCAAAGCCAACCTCAGCAAAAGTGAGGCGCTAAGCAACTCAGTGAGGCCCTGTCTCTAAATAAAATACAAAATAGGGCTGGGATGTGGCTCAGTGATCTAGTGCCCTTGAGTTCCATCCTTGTAACCTCCCCCAAGAAAAACAACAACACGGACGCACTAATACTGGATGTGAATTTTTATTTATAACCACTACGACACTAGGCCAGAGGACACAGGCTTCTCTGACTTGAGCTCTAGTTGTGGGAGTTATCATTTCATTATAAAAAATTATGATCAGTTATGAGCTGACACTGCTTAGATGAATCTCATCCCATTAGCTCCTCCAAGATAGGAGGGAATGACAGGTACAGAATCTGCATTTTACAAAGGACAGAGCTGGTTCCCACAGGTCAGAGGACTGGCCTGAGTCACATGCCTTGCCTGCAAGTGACTCAGAGTCCTCCAACCCCAAGGCCAGAGACCCCAGTCCTCCACAGATGGTAATTACATACACACACACAGGCAGCAGGTGGTGCAGGCAGGACTGGGAGCTCAGACCCAGAGAGGTGAAGAGAAATGTCTTGGGGAGAAGGAAGTGGGGCATAGAACAAGTAGGCACAATTCGGAAAAAACCTCACTGGAGGACCCCACAGATCACCCCTGCTATTCCATGTGCCTGTTGACTACCTTTATTCACTGAACAAGGCAAAACAGTTACACCATAAATGCCAAATAGAAGGTATTTCCCATCATGCCACCTTCTCTCCAATATCTCCAACCCACTTCCCCCATCCACCAGCCCTGCACCCCCAGTGAGTCTAACTCTTCCTTTGCCCAGATACCCTGCTTAGAAAAATCATCTTGTCCCAGCTTCTTTCATGGCATACCTCTGCCCCCAGAACTTCTTACCTCCTGGGCTCTCTCCTTGTTCTCAGCAGCCTGGATGCTTCCACCATTTGCAGACATTTTCTATTTGAGAGTTAGGAAGAACAGCAAGTTGTTTCTCCTGCTTGCTGGCCAAGCCCCCTCCTGCTTTTGGCCATGAGCCTGAAAGAGCAGAAAGAAATTAGTCATCTTCAAGTGCCCTGAAAAATCTCCATGCTGGACCAGACTTTCCTGGTCCTACCTGGTCTGCTAGATCCTATTCAGCAGTCCTACTTTTCGATCATGTTTTTAGTTTCCTGCTTAAAAAAAAAAAAAAAGGTACAAAGATATTGTGTACCCTATGCTTTGTTGCTGAGCCCCACATTTCAGAGCAAACAGCTCAGGGAAAGTGGGGGAAAACTGAAATGGTAGTTCCTGTCATCAAGAGCAGAAAATTCCGCAGAGATCCTACAAAACAAGTGCTGGTGAGGTCCCACTTCTCATAGAATTCAGGCCCCGCTGACCCCAGGGCATGCACTCTGTGCCCCGCGTCTGCTTTAAAGCCCGGCTAGAAACCAGAAATCAACCTGCCCACTTAGCAGTTCCCCTGCGATGCAACCTCCGGCCTTGGGATGCCCATCCTGCTCATAGTTCCGGCGGACTATGTCCTTCTCCTTCCCAATCCCGGATCCAGGCCCCCTTCTCTCCTGCCAGCCCGAAGCCTTCCACCTTTGACCCTGTCCCCTCCTGCAATCTTGGCCACCTGTACCAGTCCCGGGATCCAGGCGCCCTCCCCAGCATTCCCTTCTCACCGAGGTGCAGGATGGTAGAGGGGGCACCAGGGGCAGCCGGGCCCCTCCCCAGGGAAGGGAAGTTCTGCAGCCAGCGTTGGGCGGGCGGGGGAATCGGGCGGAGACCAGGATTAGGGACAACAGGAAGTCCCTTCCAGATCCCGTTCCCCACGCAGCGGCAGCCCTACAGGGTTCCCAGCTTCGAGGGTTCCGTGTCTGGGATCCCAGGCCTTGGCTGCACCTGCTCTTGGCAGGAAGGCAATTCCCAGATCAGCAATTCCTGCTAAAGACGATTCTTTTACCAAGCACGTATTTGTGATGCCCGCCAAGCAGGGGCACCGAAACGAAAAAATAGGGCGATGCGTTTTTAGAAAGATTTTGATAATGTTTCAAAGAGAGCATTGCAGTCATCCTTGAAGAAGTGGCGCTTTGCTGAATGGAGGGAAGACGTTCTTTTTCAGTACACAGCACTTCTTTGAGGCCCCTGGATTCAATTAAGCCTCCCCAGATCAGGGGGTCCTCTGGGTCCCTCCAAGACTGGCACAGAGTTCTCTCCCTAGGAGTGAACTAAGGAAATAGGCTGGGACCACCTGTAGCCCATCCTGATGCCTACACCTGGCAATATGTGGGATAAATTTGGTTTTTCCAAACCTACTCCAGCTCGGAAACAGTGGTAAAGAGGCCTGACCCAACTGTCCAGGAGTTCCAGATGCCACCCCTTGGGTTCCCTTTGCCTTCTGACCCTGGGTACTAAAGCCCCAAATGGGTAGGAGAGTGATTGTACTTTACTTTCTGGGGTAAAGAACCATGTCTTCTAGGCAGAGCATGGGAGTGTCAGGAAAGAGGTGGGGTCCCAATCCTGGAGTCTGCCTACAGGGAATGTTCCTCCCAGAGATGATCCTGTGCTTGCCTCCTTTGACTCATCTCTGAGATCCCCTGCTTCACACAGCAAGATCAGTGTTACAGCCCTGTACTAGTTCACAGATGTACTCTGGGGTTCACATGATTTAATTTTTTAAAAACTTAATTTCTAACACTTAAAAATCAGCAGAGTTCTCATATAATTGATTTTTTTAAAAAATCAGAACATTTGGCAATACTGGACCTATATTCTTTTTACCCACAACCTGACTCCCAGGTGGTCATGGTCGACACTTGGTCCCTTATAGCATCTGTTTGCAACTCCACTCTTGGAGTCAAATATTTTAGGAGTCCTTGGATTTGGCTTGATTCTACTGTCAACTTGAAGAAAATTTACCCCTGGGATTTGCCTCTAGTTAGTGTTTCCAGTCATTCTAAACCCAGGGTGAAGAGGGACATACAAAGTTGTAATCAAAGTCAATACTGTTTTCAATCCAGGTAGCTATGAACTGAAACAAAGTCAAAGAGGGTCCTGAAAAGATGACACAACTGCATTCAGTGTGTCCATGAGGAGCAGAACTGAGTCTCCAGTATACAAGGACTACCGCTGGAGAGGACCATGTCACCCCATGCAATCCCAAGAGAGCACAAAGTTCAAAATCAGTGCATATGTCCCAATTTCAGGGAAAAAATAAAATAAAATTCTCCCCCCCACACTTTTAATGTATTTTTGGTTGTAGATGGACACAATGCCTTTATTTTGTTTATTTATTTTTATATGGTGCTGAGGATGGAACCCAGTGCCTCATGCAAGGCTATTGCTCTACTGCTGAGCCACAACCCCAAGCCCCAGGGCAAAATTTCTTTACCAGCAAAAGGTACTGGTTTAGGAATACTGCAGGGGTAAAGGGTGTCTAGAGGCTTGAATCCTGCCATAAGATCTCCTAGACAGACTAAATGAAGTTTGAGCATTCATTTGGTTGTTCATAGAAAATTCCTTGAGCACCTACTATATGCTTGATATTAACCATTTAACCCTTTCTTGGAAAAGAGAGAAATGCATTCCACAGCTGGTTTTAGGATCGGAGCAGGTCTGGGGGAGCGGGTTACCACAGTTTCTATGTGGAAATTGCAGCCTCTGAAAGAGTTCAGAAAGGCGTAAAGCAGACATCAAAAATGTAATGACTTCAACAACCACAAATGACCAATGGCTGGACATAAGAAGAGAGTATAAGGGACTTAAGGGATATCCAAAACCATATTTTTTTAGAGGGAGTAGTTGGGGGCCAGTATTGCCAAAGTTCAAATATTTTTCAAGAGAAAAAAAAAATTCAATTTCTTCTTCTTCCTTCCGTCTCCTTCTCATTCTCCTTGATTGAAACCAGGGCCTTGCGTATGTTAGGACAAGCATTCTACCAGTTAGATACATTCCCAGTCCTTTTTAAATTTTTTATTAAGATAGGGTCTTGGTGGGGCTGGGGATGTGGCTCAAGCAGTAGCACGCTCGCCTGGCACACATGCGGCCGGGGTTCAATCCTCAGCACCACATACAAACAAAGATGTTGTGTCCGCCGAAAACTAAAAAATAAATATTAAAATTCTCTCTCTCTCTCTCTTAAAAAAAAAAATATAGGGTCTTCGTAAATTGCCCAGGTTAGCCTGGAACTTACCAGCCTCCCAAATAACTGGTATTATAGGCTTGTACCACCACACCTCGAAATAATTTGATTTCTATGTGAAATCTCCTGAGTTTTAAATTTAGGACAAAACGTTTAAATCTGCACACCCACAATCCCAGCTACTTAGGAGACTGAGGCAGAAGAACCACAAGTTCAAAGCCAACCTGGGCAACTTAGCCAGACACGCTGTCTTAAAAGAAAAAATAAAAAGGGCTGGGCATATAGTTCAATGTTAGAATTGCCCCAGTATCACAAAGGAAAAAAAAAACAAACAAACAAACTCAGTACACGTCCAGCCTCTCTGCATTCAGCTCACAGGTCACCAGTTCAGGGCTGTACTTACCTACTTACCTCAGAGCCTGTCACAAGTATTAACTACCATGGAGAAAGGCGCTCAGTGGAGCTTCAGGTTTGGGAAACCCTCAACAAACGTCAACTCCTGGTGGCTGCCCTGAACTTGAGTAAGGAGAGGACACCACCTTTGATAAATAAATCCCCATCTACTCGCAGAGATCAGCCTGACAGTTAACTTAAGTCTTAAAAAATAATGAAAACTAGAAACAACATCGTCTAAAGCAAGAACAAAATAATACACTTACTAAAGCAGCTAACTAGAGACAGGACGATGCGGATATGCGGTCTGGTGAAGGAAAGAGACAACCAATAAGGGAAATAAAGGAACACGAGAGAAGGGAAGTAAAAATAATAGCAGAGAAAATTCTAAACGTTAACAAAGAAGAAAAGGTAATCAGCAGAAGTGCTCATAGGGTTTAAAATTTTTAAAAGAAGACTAAGGATGCCCAGGCCAGGGAGACCTCCGGAGGCAAGAAGGCGACCCCGCGACCCGCTCCAGTGAAGCTGACACCGCAGCAGGAATGCAAATTCCGAGCACCAGGCGGCCGCAGAAGCCCGGGAGTCCCCAGCGCACCTTCCGGCCCCGCGAGCTCCTCAGCCCGCAGGAACTTGACGCCGGGAGCTGTCTCCCAGGCAACGACGCCACCTCGCCCCGCCACGCGCCACGGAAGACGCCAGTGATTGGCTGTAGACAAGATGGTCCCGCCCCCCCCGCCCGTCCTGCCTCACTGAGCCACCGTCTTGAGGCCCTCACCTGCGCGCTCCCGAGAACAGTCTTACTCGCGGGGGGAAGGGTCACCCTGTGCGCGCCTGGCCTGGCTGGTGTCCCCACGTTTCCTGTCCCGCTGCCCCACGGCAACTTCCGGTTTGCCCAGATATCTCCCGGCGACCTACCTGGCCTGTCCGGGCGGTGAGGACGCTGGGCGAGGACACGCCGGTCCTGGACTGGATTTCCACCCGCCGGGAAACTAAGACGGCCCGCCGGAAAGCCCCGCGGCCGCCGCGGGGCCTGGGGCTCAGGGGTCTTATTAAAGAGAGCCGAGCCGTGAGGACACGATCAAGATGCATAAAGCCTTACGACCTCGGCGCTCAGTTCCGCCTCCGGATCCAGCATCTCCCTCGCTCACCTGTTTTGGATGCCGTTTTGTTTTAAAAAATGGAAGTAAGGGTGCTGAGGTTATAGCTCAGTGGTGGAGCCCTTGTAACCGAAAGCTCGATCCTTGTCCCCAATGCCAGTTCATGCCAACTTAATAACTTAATAATAAGGACACGGTTCTAAGTTAAAGGATTTTTTTTTTAAAATTGTTTTGCTGGCAAAGGAGAAACAGGGGACTCCTGTCCCTGTGATTCTGCCCATTAGGGAAAGCAGGGCTTTTAAAAAGCTATTCAAAGGCTACAGTCCAGGTGTGCCCTGAAGGGGGTTCCCAGGGCGCCCTGAGGGTATGTTAGGATTCATTTGTTAATTTGGGAGATAGTCACTTCCTAGATCCTCAGGCAGACATCTCCTTCCTGTGGAGCCTGGATAACTCCAGGTGATCTTGTTTCCCCGCCCCCAGGTTAGGTGGGAGAGAGGGAGAAGAGGAAGGGAAAAACATGAACTTTTAAAAATAAGTCTCAAGGAGCTGGGGCTGGGGCTCAGTGATAGAGCGCTTGCCTAGCATGTGCAAGGCACTGGATCGAATCTCAGCACAATAAATAAATGAATAAAGATTCATCAACATCTAACAAATTTTTTTTTCAGTTATAGATGAACACAGTGCCTTTATTTTGTTTATTTTTATGTGGTGCCGAGAATCAAACCCAGTGCCTCACACATGCTAGGCAAATGCTCTACCACTGAGCCACAACCTCAACCCCTAACAAAATTTTTTAAAAAATAAACAAATAAGCCTCAAGCCTGGTGAGGTGGCGAACGCCTGTAATCCCAGTGGCTCGCGAGGTAGAGGCAGGAGAATCGCGAGTTCAAAGCCAGCACTCTGTAACAGTGAGGCACTTCTCAGCTCAGTGAGACCCTGTCGATAAATAAAAAAATACAAAGTAGGCCTGAGGATATGGCTTAATGGTGGAATGCCCCTGAGTTCAATTCCCAGCACAAGAAGAAGAAGCAGCAGCAGCAGCCCCAAAGCAAGGAGGGCTATATCAAAAGGTAAAGTGACTGTTACATGTTTGCCAAGCATGCATGAGATCCTGGGTTTCAGTCCCAGCACAATGCATAGGAGGTATGACCTGG